TCAGGTTCCGTGTTTTGCTCACCGTTAGGAAATGCCAAAACACTAATGACAAGGAAGAAGGAGATGACCAGAATCAGCCCCACCCAGAGATTATTGTCCTTATTTTCATCATCTCTGCAGGCAGGGAAAACAGAAATATCATCAGTTATGTTAAACAGCCCATTTTACAAGCAGTATATGTGTTATATTCTCTCCACAGCTGTAAATATGTTTCACACAGCAAACATGGGGGTTTTGCATCAGCTGTAAAAGATGTGTAGAGCAAAATGTAGCTTGTAAAGCAGATAATCACAATAAATGTAACGTTACATCGTCCCTTAGATCGTTACATTGTTGTAGCCAATATCAGCACAGACATGATGTACATCAATAATGCATTATAAGACAAACATCTATTTTTATTGGCTTAAGTTGACGAATAATGACAGCAGAATTAAGGCAGCCATCACTGATATTTATCCCAGTTTCTTCATGTGGGTGTTGATATATTTTTTTTCAGTAAGAAAATCATTTAAAAGAGTAGCTCGCTAGTGTAGCTGGTGCTGCCAGAGCATCACTGTTAGCCGAGCGCTAGCTAACTATGCTAACCCAGCGAGCTAACGCTAGCCGTGGACGACTTACCTTGCGAAGGCGAAATACATCAGACTGAGCACCGTGCATGTCAGCAGCGTTATCGTGTGCGGCCTGTAGAAAAACGCTATGGTGATATCTTCAACCTGCTGCTCGTTTATCATTCGGAAATGCTTCCTGTAATTCACATCATCCTTGCTCAAGGTGTGGGACCCGCTGTACACGGGCGCCATAGCAGGACGCAGGCTGGAGGGCAGCTCCTCATGAGAAAGTGATCCAAAACAAACTACTCACAGGAAACAGGTTGAAATTAATATGTACGGTTACATATCTAAACTAGCAGCTTCTAAAAGTAGACGTGACAGCTGAGCAGAGTGAGCAACAGGGGAAGACAGTTTAAAGAAATTGTTCACTTTTGCTTGTGATTGGTGCTGCATGTTTGTAGGGAGTGTCCCATAGCGGAAGAGTTCACTCCTTCCTCATGTGCTGCTGCTGATGATTGTTTTTAGCGTGACTGACCTCCATGCGACGACTAGCCTGACAAATGACCAGAGGTTTACTTTTTTACGTTTTAAATAATCCCGTTACCATCTGAGACTACTGTGAACTCCTGAATTCATAGCTAAATAAAATACATAAGCCTACAGGTTTGGGAACATCAACATAGTTATAGCAGTAACAACTAATTTAATATAAAATGATTGTGTTGTTGAAAACATCCTGCACTTAAAGTGAATGTGCTTCACTTGATTGTGTGTGTTTGACTCCCCCTCGTGGCGGCTAATGGCTTCACATGTCACTGAAACCAAAAAACATCCTCAGCCCCCAGCAGGGGTCTACATCTCACTCTTTATGTTATTTCTGATGTGTAAAATAATAAGTAGAAATGCTAAGTATTTTACACAAAACAAGTTCAGCCCATCAAGCATAAAGGCCAGTAACTGTAGGCAATAATAGGCAATAAGACACATATAATTATTATAATACATTTGCAAAAAGCAATTTTTTTTTACTAGAGTATCGATAAACCCTACTTAGTTGATAAGGATCCATTCCCTTAAGTTTGTTGCATAATGTTTTGGGTTTTGCATGACAATTACACATTTGTATTTATTATTATTTATTTAGTTTCAAACGTATTTGTACAAGTATAGTTCAGTTTTACATAGTTAGTAACACTTAGCAACAAAAAACAGAACCCAACCCTTCAAATAATCCAACCGAAGGGCTGAGCTTAAATAAATGAAAACAACAGCCAAGAAGTTACAATACAAAATTAAACAGTACAATAATAATAATAATAAAGAATAAACAAATGCCACCATAATAGGCAGTGTATTAGCAGTGCTAACAATGATGATAGTATCACAGCTATTACTTCATTATAGGCAAAAACAAAAAGAGTGTAAGGTAAGGAAACAGTGTGTGTTTTACTAAGCATATACAAATGGTTTATTGTTCCCTTTTTTTATTTATTAATATTAACATTACATATATTATTTTTACATATATTATTTACCATGCAGAAAAGGTGTTGATCTATAGGTTCACACTGTTACAGTATATGCCTTCACTATTTCCCCCATGTTATTATGAATTCTCAAATGAATGGAATATTTCACAGCAAATCAAATGTTCAAACAACAAAACGAATTAAAAAGAAATATCTGAAAAATTCAAAATGTATATTCATTATTTTGGGGTTATTCATGTATGTTTATGATCTTAAAACCAAGACGTTATTTGAGCTGTTATCTGGTTTAAAGTAATGTGTTGTAGGTCGACAAGAAGACAAATAAAGAAAGAACAAAGAAAATAATCAGCTTTATTATCCCCAAAATAATGTTGCAAAAGTGACTTACAAAGAGAACAATAGCAAATAAAGATTACAAAACCAGACGTTTTCAAATATCATATCAACTCGTCGAAACACAACAACTACAACAAATAGAAATCAAAGGAAATATTGAAGTTTAAAACACCACTACTTTTATTAATAAAAAATAACCAGGTGCATGGACACAAACTAAATAAAGGTGATCTATATCAAAGAAGTTGCTCATTCACATGCTATCTGCGGTTTGAGTAATTTCCCATTGTATGACACTGAAGAGGCTTTTAAATATTTGTTGATACTATACGGAATACATAAGTACCATGTTATCAGGCGGTTGGTTGTTGGCTTTTGATGATTTTAATCTCCTTGTTTTAGCAGTATGGTGGGCTGTGGAAAAAGAGAATCACCATTTTTAGTAACATTTCATCTTGTTCATCTGACAGTATGCGGTTTGCAGTGTTTCTAATGAAAATGACATACCAGCGTGTTGAAATGATGTCTGCATACAGCCTGACTCAACCAGTAGATCAAGAAGAGGGATGTTAACATTTCAACGCCCAGCAGAGTCAAAATCAGTCCCTTGATGCCTTGATAGATCTGTATAAAGGAGGTTGATACAGAGGTGGAAGTTAGTACACATCTGCCTTGTATTTCAGAGAGGTTACTTACAAAATATGAATGTTGTTTTCCCTTACATTGTCATGTGTGCCAGACCAAAAACGAAAAGTAATACTGCAGAGAATAACTGCCGCAATAGACCAGAAGAAGCTGACGATGTTCAGGGAGAACGACAGCTTTGTCTGGAAGACAAAAAAAATGCATAATAATGTAGGTGTTACAGAAATAATGAGGAACAAAACATTTAATAAATAAAAAGCCGAATCAGACCAGCTGTACATTTTTTCAAACACATAATTAAAACTTTATTCCATTTTTCATCCACTTCTACAAAGAAAATCCTTTGGAATTCACGTTTTCAAAGGCAATCTGCAGGGCCATATTTCATATTCAAAAGATAAAAATGTGGGTTTGGATTGACAAACCTACATTTAACTGAAATAAATCCTGTTTAACTTGTTTACAAAAATAAAGCAAATAAAGCAAAGTTTGGACAAAAACTCGTCATAAACTTAACATCCTAAAGAAGCATTTCAAATGTATATCTATATATTGCACCCGCTCTATACATGCCTTCATTTTTAGAGGATAATTCAACGATTGGAGTGGATTTTTCACTTAATAATTATTCAAAACTTACCACTTGCATGTTTGGAAAGTGTCCAGCTGCATAGGACAGCATACCACAGAACAAAAACTAAGATGTTGATGAAAAATGCAAATTATTATACACAACATATACTATTGAATAATGTGGAATAGCAACAGATTACAAGAAAAAATAAGAAACGATAAGAACAATTGTTATTTTATATATATATTATTATTTAGGGGGGAAGTTAAAATGTGGTAGAAAGCAAAAGGAAGTACAAGAACATCTGCAGTTATATACTGTCCTCTTTGAACGATTGAGTAGATAGCAAAGGAAACGTTTGTATTTGTATTCTTTAATTCATCTAAAGTTGTAAGGTACATATAGTAGTGAATTGGGAATAATTGTAGTTTTGCAATTGTATTTACCAGAACACTTGGTAGAGTGTAGAGCAGGGTAAAGCTTTCTGGGAAAACCAACCCGAGCGCGAGAATGAACACACCAGCGATGACCTGGGCTGCCTGACAAAAAAACAACACAATACTGCATTACAATCCTGCATGTTTTGTGTTGAGGTTGAAATGTAAATATAAAACTATGAAATATTTTGTGATCAAGACTTCCTGTGTAAAACAATTCAACTTACCCCAAGAGGTTTAGGTTTCCCTTTCACAACAAAGACCTTGAAGTGATCTTTGTACACACAGTGAAACTTCTCCGGCATCAGTTGCCCCTCTCTGGCGTCCCTCAGACTCCCGATGGGAATGGTGATGATCATGGACTCATCGCATTGAAATGTCTTCTTCATTGGCCTGTAGACAAGATCAAAGACATGTCAAAACTGTTTTTGTCACTTTGGTGACTTGCATTAGAGGTTTTCAGTAACTTACCTTTTTCCCCCTCTCTTATCTTGATTCAGACCTGAATTCATTCTCTGCTTTCTCAAATAAGTTTGACAAGGAAATGACCTGCCACGCCAATTGTCTGTGGCTCTCACTCTGTTCTGTTTTTCTCTCTTTCTCACTCACACACGCACATTCTCTCACACACACACACACACACACACACACACACACACACACACCACACCACACACACACACACACACACACACACACACACAACACACACACACACACACACACACCCACACACACACACACACACACACACAACACACACACACACACACACCACACACACACACACACACACACACACACCACACACACACACACACACACACACACACACACACACACACACACACACACACACACACACACACTGTTCACGTGCATGATTTGACAAGCATTTAAAACAGTCAAAGCTGGGTATTTTGACTTATGTATGTTCTTTAATGTATAGAAAAGAGAAATACTCTTCCATTAAATTACAGCTTATGGCGCTGAGGTACTACAGGGCAGACAAATATGAAATTGGAGAGACCTGTCTCTTTCAGAGCGAGGAAGTCAAGGCGTGAGGTGACCTCATCTTTCAAAGTATTTGCAGGGATGTGAAAATCAAGCTTAAACAGAGAGGCACATACAGAGAGCGTCACATAGCTACTTCTAAAGCCACACTTGGTAAGATCTTCATTTTTATTCTTTTTAAAGGCTTTTCTATAGATCGAATGTTTTTGTGAAATTTAAACTGTTAACATTAAAAATCTGCTATTATTCTGCAAGTATTTGAGTATAGGATTTTTGGGAGCTGCAAAAGCCCTGCAATAGATACTACCTTATATAGTTATAATATAAATAATACCTTTTTAATATTATTGTTGTAATTTACTCCTTTAATTGTTTGGCTGTTGAGTTCCATGACTTATTTAAAGCTGTTATGTGTGGCGATGATTCATTTGAATATATTTGAGTGAAATATATCCAGAATATTATGACATCTAAACTCAATTTAATAAAGAAAGATATTACAATTTGAACGATCACGTAATACAACAACAACACTGCAAAATCAGTCTCTAAGATGATTTCAGTCATCACCTCAGTGTCAGCAACCGTTATGAATCTCACATTTTTACAATGTATCACATGACCCTATGGCTGGCCTTACAATGTAAAGTTGTTACTATTCTTTTGTTCTCGTTGTGTCCTTTTTACAGACTCTATTGTCGGTCGCATAAAGGAGGCTGTATTCACAGAACATATGAATGAACACATAATGATTTTGGATGAATTATATTACACAAGAAACCTTCCTCCCTCCAGGTCAGATAGCACCATGGCCTGTGCCGATGTGGACATGGACGTCGATGAGAATGAATGGACCCCAGGCAGACCCTCGAGAGAGCCGCAGATGGTGCGAAAGTACCAAGCTTTAGAGCTCCTACCGGACGACAAAGGGCCGCTGCATGACCTGCTGCAGAAAAAACCTGGCGTGTTGGGGGTAAGACTGAACAAATAAAATATACAATGCCAATACAAATCCTTTGAGAATGCCATACTCTTTAACTGTTTTTGACATTGTGTCAGAGAGGTGTTTACTAAACGTCTTGTGGCATTTGGTGTTGTATACTTTGCTTTACTAACCCTTATTATTGTAGGAATTTGATGGTATTGTATCCATTGACCCCCTTTTTATTTTAACTGTATGTCTAAGACCGAAGACCTTAAACAGTATCACGTGTTTGTTTGAATGGCGCTGACAGCATGTTGCAAATGATTGGATTAAAGTTAAACACTTAAAAAACTGCATGTAAGCGTACATTTTGCTGGCATTATTTTTGCAACCGTTATTTTTGTAACCTTGTATTAGAACCTGTATGCCTGCAAAAAGTGACTCATGGGCAATTTACGGAAGGTAAAAAAAAAAAGGTAGATCTTTTGAAAAATGTTCTTGTGCTCCTTTGCACATTACCGTCTCTCGTAGGCAGACATGTGGGGCTAAATGTTTTGCTCCAGGAAACTACAAACTCTGCAATTGTTGGACACTACAGGTGACAGTCTACATAACAGTGCAACATATAACACTACAATGGCTTTCTTAAAGAGTGTCTTCACTTAGAAAGATATGAAACATGACTTGCGTCAACATGGTTTTGAGGTCTATTCAGTAAACATTGAAGTGTGTGGGAAAATGTTCTGTACAATCGTAGAAAAAAAGAAGATCGTGTATTTCACACACTTCTACTTTGTATTAATCATTTACATGCGAAGTCCAAGCATTAGTGATCACAATCTTTTTCTCAGTTGACCCCGTGGCTGTGTTTTCATGTTGTAAAAATGTATCAACGTTTATAAAAACAGTTCATGAAAGACATCACAAACAGATAACAGTTTCAGTTAAAGAGGATGTCCAAAATACTTTGCACCCATTGTGCAGTTTTGGCCAGCAGCAACAGGAAATGCTGGGTGGAGGGTTTTGTGGTCTTCTACATCTTGAGTGTTAAAGCTCACATTATTCTACCTTTATAGTACTGTGAATATGTGTCCAATAGTTTTAACGGGCGCTGCAAATAAGATTGTTTATATATATTATGATGATTTAGGTGAAAATATATCTTTTGGGAACCATTTTCTGATTACTTTCTGTGTTAACCTTTAAACATTTACACGCATTGTCATGAATACATGATATGAACTGTTAATCTGTTTCTCTGTCAGTCTCTGCAGATGGTGAGCGGTCTGCTGAGTGTTGGAGTTGGAATTGTTTTTGCAGTAACCCAAGAGATGCAGGGGTCTCTGATCAATCTGTTCAGGCTTTCCCACCTGACTGGAGCCCTTGTAAGTATCTTGTTCTAACTTGACAAATGATACACATCCTGCAGCAAGAAGTACATCAGATAAAACTGTACGGTCTTGTTGAATTACTTACAAATGTGCCTTCTTCTCCTTCAGTTCATCATTGCTGGAGTTGTCTCCAACATGATTTTCAAATATCCAGAATTGCTACCTGTGAGTACAACTCAGTACAAGCTAAATATGCAACATTTAAAGCTAAGCAGTTACAGTCAAATAACGTATGTCTTCTGGTCCAGGTGTCCCTCATGGTTAACTCGGGCTGTATTATTGTAGGCGTGGTTTCAGCTGGTCTGATAAGTGTGGACCTGGCTCTCTGGAGAATAGAACAGGATATGCATTTGAGGGTAAGACCATGTAAAGAATATAACTAAATGAAACATTGATATTTCCATTTATTCGCCGATATAACACTTTATTATCTTGATGTTTCTAGATGGAGGTGCTGGAACTTTGTGTGTTGGCACTCGAGGTTTTACTCTCTACAATCCTTTGCATCTGGTTCTCTAAAGAGAAACGGGCCAAATCAACATCAAGCTGAAGAAGAAGACATTTGAGAACTTACATCATTCAAATCAACTATTTGGATAGGACAAGAAGGTTGTATATTAGTGCTGAATAAAATGTAGGCCACTGTATTAGCAGAGTTTTTTTGTTTTGTTTTGTACATACTGTGTGGCTTTCTGTTCTGTTGCCTGTATTGAAGCAAGGGGCTGTGGTCTGCTTCTGATGTCTCACTTACACGAGGACACAAGAATTGTGGTAAATGAATGTCATCTACTCATGTGAAGAAAAAAACCCTCCTCATCCTCCTGCGTCTCTGTGTGTAACGGTAGCATTGGTCTATCTGCAAGGGTCTGTGTGTGTGGTTTGACGCTTGTGCTTTATTATCAGTGGAAATATCTGCAAGGTGGTTTCTTTCAGTGCGCTCACACTTCCAGCTGCTTTCACAGAATCTATAGGATATGTGAGTAGGAAATATGCAATAACGTGTCAGACTTAACTGGGGTAAAGACAGAAACACAACATTATGTTTTTGAACATTTTAATCACCTGTACAAACTTTTCATAACACAGGACTGGCAACAAAATAAAAGAAACATGACAGTTAAACAGATCGATCTGCCTGCTATTTTTTTTGTAAAACACATAAAAAAACTCATCTACAATATAAACATTGATTCTTAACTAGTCTTTTTAAAACAAATGTACAGACCACAGAAGTACCATCATGGTATTGTATACTATGTGTCAAAATATCCAATATACAGAGAATTGCAATGAAATGTCATAAAATAGTTGAGCTTCATCCATTAAAGGCGTAGTGCTTTGAAGCTGGACTCCTGTCGTCTCCATCTCTTTGTCCTGATAAACCGCTGAGACGTCAGTAGTATTCAGTCTGAAGACTTCACAGCTACAGAGAAAAGGAAAACACAAGAAAACAGATTTAGAAAAACATTTAGTCTACACATTATGCACTCTGAACGATTTTACTTGACAACATGCACGATTAAGAACACATTATAATATTCATTTAAGGTTTTTCCTACTTATTTAAACAGTTTGAGTCCATAACATGGATATGACTTTAAACTGAAATGTTTATGAATAGATTACCGTGCTATTTACAATTTAAATGACGTTGACAAATGACCACACCACTGTTTGGAGCAGAAGCATATCTAAATGCATTACAAAAAAAAATCTAAACCTTTTGCAAAACACATTTGATTTGACTTGATACAACATTCCAAAAAATAACAATAACAATATTTAAATTAGTTTATTCCTGTTTATTTAAAATGTTTAATTCAACAACATTGATATGACTTTAAGCTGAGGTTTTTATGACCTGAGGAAATGACACTGACTAATTACTTTGACCAGTGAATGGAGCACAATGTTTATTAAAAAAGTAACATGTAAAATATGCAGCAGGGATTTTTTTAGTTGAAGCATATCTTAATGCATTAAAAATAAAATAAATAAATGCTTTAACCTTTCCAAAACATGAAAAGAAGCAAACACGGCTGTTTTTTAACGTCAACATTGTTAAGAGTCACATACGTACGTCTGTATTTAGGTCTACTTTTGGATCCTACATGTTAAGTTGATCATACATTTAAAGCAATATATAAATATGGGCTATAATAAAATAATACATTTAGATTTTGAGGGTCTTATTGACATTTAAATCCTACAACAAAAGGCAACAATATTTTACATGTATTTATTCCACATGAATTCTCTTAAAGTAATTACAGATAATGCTGTTCAGGCATTTCCTACAAACTCCAGGTCGTTAATTGTAATGCTGATATTTTCATTGTAATATTTGATGTATTAATTATTTTACTGTATAGTTTCTGTTTTTGAATTAAATACAATAAAAACTAATAACATTAGAAACAAATTATAATAACAAATTATGCAGATCAAAAACAAAAAAAGCATGAATCCAAAGCCCCAAAACAAAAAGGTAACAGAGCATGCGTGTGTTCAAACAAACATAAAACTCTCAACACAAATGTCCCCATCATGTCAAACGGATGCAGAAGGAAAAGAGAGGATGAGAAAGAGGCAGGAGTTTCCAAAACAAACCACCCATCGGGGAGATCCCTCTGACCCTCAGGACACACTGCCATGCAGCACAACCCAGGCAGCAGAAGCATGTTTTCACACAGATTAGTAGCGGGCGGGTTCCTCACAGTTGTTAATGAGGCTGTGAGGGAACACAGATGTCTGCACTGGTGACACCGGTTACTTACTGAGCTAACCCCCTCAGCTCTGAGTCAGACCACAGTGGAGAGGCCTACTGCTATATGAGAGGTTGTGCTCTGGTAAAAACAGAACAGCAAAAAGGTGGTGAGTGAAACTAACGCTTCAAATATTCCACTACCAGTTAAGTTCTTGAGTCTAAAATCTAAACCAAAATATACCCATTAATTTAAATGTCTCCAACATCGGTTACAATATGCCAGTCAGTCTCGTCTTGCGTAGTTTGTTCAATTTTAAGATAAATAGCTGTTTATGCAAAGACAGTATATCAGAATAAAAGGTCCACATTCAGATTAATGTGTGAATGAAGGAGAATAATAATAACCAGACTTTTGTATCTGCAAAATGTACACATTTATGTTCAGAGTTACATATTTGATTACAGGTCTGGTTTAAAGCTTACACAGAAAGTGGGAGAAATGAATGATAAACCTCTTTGTATGAACAGATAGCAGTGCAGGCTCAACGTCATCAAAGATTTTTTTATTTGACCATCATAGCAAAATAAGGGTTATAAACAGAGTTTAAAATACTGGCTTATGGCTTCTTTAGGCGAATAATCAACATGATGCTAATGTTTCTAATCATCATTTATTCTTTCGAAGTTATAAAGTGCAGCATTTGACTCAAATGCTTTTTCCCTGAACCAGTGAACGTACATTTTGTGCGGACCTTTCCATAATAAGAGATGAAGGTTCAACTTGAAAAGAATAAAAAAATCAATAAGTACAAATATAGTAGGCTATGGCTTACATTTAAAGAGTTTAAGGTACAATCAAGAAGATTAGATCTCTTTTAAAACAACTGAACAATTTAAGTTCTCCTACTGTCCCTGAACCGACTTACGTTTTTCACACGCTGAATTGAATAGTAGAAAAATACAAACAGATGTTGTGGGGTGAAGTGTTCATATATCTATATAAAAAGGTAGGCTTAATCTTAAAATACATCACTTAAGATTGAGACACCAAATATAAATGGGTGTCACCGCAGCTACGCTTGATCTAATTCTGTACTTTACAAAATGCACTCGCAGGAAAGAACCTGATAGATGATGATGATGATGATGATGATGATGATGATGATGATGATGATGATATTCAAACACTCACTGCTGTGATGAACTTGGTGCCCTGGGGTTGGAGGTCATCCTCTTTCTGGAATATGGAAGGAGAGGCGATGGAGGAGGGAGGGCTGGAGGAGCACAGGAAAGGGGGAGTCTCGTTGTTGTTGTTGAAGGAGTCCATGCTGAGGCTGGGGTGCTCGGGGATGGTGAGGGTGCTCAGACCGGTCACACTGTCACTGGAGGGACACTGGGACGATGTCTCTGAGCTCTCAGTGACTGCACACAACACACGGAGAAAATACATGAATACTGCAGTAGTGGATAAAGCAACACAAACTCCCTTTCATTTCTTACTGAGGTGAGAGTTTAAAGAAGGTCAGTGAGTTGGCTTTTATATACGATACGATAATACTTTAATGGTCAGATCAAGTCTGAAATGTGGCTTGCATCACAGCAGCTCCATGTGTAACATCGACATAGACAAATATCAAGACACAATACATGAAAAACAAACAACAAACATTTAACATAACAGCACAATCACTGAGGAAACATGTTCAATCCCTTTAGTGTGCATTTGATCTGGGATTCAGCTCTGTATTTACTGTGAGGATCGACTGATGCACAAAGGAGTGCTTCAGTCTGACTTTATAGAATCGCGGGACCCTGTATCTCCGAATGCTCTTGAAGCTCTTATGTGCAGCATTCGAATTGTTTAGACTTTGGCAACTCCTAGTGGTAGCAGCAAAGAAGACACCGACAGGCAGTAATCCCCTGTACACATCTTACAGATAGAGTTTATATATCTGTTTTTTATATAGCTTTTAGTTTTTGTGCTTATCTTTACTTTCTCTTTTATGTCACTCTGTGAAGCTATTTGTTACATACGGTAAAAATATATAGACTGGGTGAATACTTGTGCAAATAACTATTGTGTATTTGTAAATAACCTTAAATCACTTTGAAGAGATCTTTTAATTTTAACTTAAAAGAGTCTTTTTTAGTTAAAGATAGCTCTACTTTGATTCAGTGCTGTCAGACAGTTAAACCTGAACACATAAATAGCTTTTATAGGCCGTGTGTGGGTTGAAGAGTCCTTAAAAAGGTTTTATGATCAGATCTGCTTACACTGTTTTACCCAGAGTTTATGTCCTCACACATCAAGAGTTATTGCATTTTCTACTGTGAGACGATACTGAGCAGTTTTAATTAAATTAGGTTGGTGTTAAATTAACAGCTCAGAGAATACTTTCAGGGGTAAAAACTGAAAAGCAGGAGAAAGCAGAAATTTAGTATTGAAAGCCCTCTTTGTGTATGTTTGCACCCAGAATGTTTCTGTATAATAAAGAAAGTTATTACTGTCTTAACAGAAAACAATGATACCTATGGGTTCAACAGCGGTAAAACAGCCACTCACTCATGGAGGGCTGGCTCCCGCTGTCCTGCTCTAGCTCGTCTTCCTCTATGCAGTCGTAGGGCCACTGGGCAAAGGAGGGAACGCTGGTCACCAGGTGTGGGTGTGTGTGCGGGTGAGAGGGTGAGGAGTAGAGATGGAGGTTGAGCGAGCCCAGCAGGGAGGAGGACGACTGGCTGCTGGAGGAGGAGGTGCTGCTGTTGGAGATGGTGGAGTGAGGTCTCTTGAAGGAAGTGGCGTGTTCAAACGAAGACACCGCGATGGAGGCCCTGGTCCTGGACTCTGTTGGTGGAGACAGAGAGGGAGCTGTGAGATCATAGGGGTGATGACAAGTGGCGAGAATCTATGAACATTCCTGTGGTTGTTAATGAGGGTAATTATGGGAGGAATACGTTTTTACAGCATCTCTGCTGAGCCATGAAAGAAGAGTAATGTAAAACGATGTACTGCGGTGGTAATGAATTCAAATCAGTATGGATTAGATTACATCTGGTTTGTGAACTCTCATAATACTACCTGCATTAAAATACTTGGAAGCAAGAGACAATTATATGTGGTTTTCTATCTACATGATTACAGGATGAATCATAGGTGCAACAAACTGAAGATTGAGAGAAAAGACAACCCGTTTTCAAGCTCACCTGACCCCTTCATGAAATAGTCGATGGCTCTGTCGCTGATAGCTGCATCACTTGGCTTGATGTCCATAAAAGGCTTGCTTCCAATCCCCATGGAAACCATCTCCTGCATGCGCAACTCTACAATCGAGAAGTGAAATACTTTAGTGACCAAATCTTTGTGTTCCGTGAGATAAAGATGATAATTACAGTTACACACACCTCTGTTCCTGAGCGCCTGCCTCCACAGGATCTTCCCTATGATGGCGGTCCACACAGCCTTGACCTCTGCAGAGCTGGCCTGCAGGATGAACGTGTCCTGCGACTTCCTCCGACGGAACCAAATCTCAAAGCGTAGGCCGCTGTCGCCAACATTTTCAGTCATGCCTATCTCTGCTGTCTAAAAAGAAAAGAATAGAAAAAACACTGTTAAATGTTGTTATTGTACACACAGAAGAAACTGCCAACAGAACCAAAATAAACTCTTACTTTGAAAGACTGTTTATAGATGTAGAAGTCATATCCTCCTTCGATCTTCTTGGTCTTGCTGAAGAGGATAAGGTCTTCAAACAAGAAGACGTGGCGGAGGTATTTCCTCCGTCCACACCAGACTATGAACTCGTCCTGGCAGCGGAGTTGACCCTGCTCTTTAAGGTTCACCTGGAGAGGAAACAGGGCCGATAACATGCGTCAGAGGAACAATACAGATCCTGGTGGGAGGCTGACCTCACTGTGCTGCGTGCATAACAAGATGACCTCCAATTTAAAAATAGTTCTTGTCAAAGTGTCTTATAATAAACTTAAGTAGTGTTTGGCTCTTTATGCTGACATCAACATATCCTTCATAGCAGCACATGTGTTTTCTACTTACATCACAACCACGAATGGCATCCATGGCCAGCAGGTCGTTGCCATGGCGAAGCTGAAACTTGACCATCTCCTCTGCGGTGCGGAGGTCGCTCAGCTCCTGCTCCTGGGACTGACTGCACTCCTTGATCAGGTCCTTCAGCAGCAGAGCGTATTTACTCATCCTCTGGATGGGCTTCAGCAGGTAGGAGGCCAGGTCCATCTTGTCCCCGAGCTCCATCTGCATGTTCTGGAGGGAGAAACACTCAGGATTATCATCGTGGTTTCACTGCTCTTACTACGAACTGTTGTTTTTAGTATGGGCTACTTATGCAAATGTTAAAACATGTGCAAACTGAAGGTCAATTATTGTTTATTCTTGTTTAGTACCTGTGTTAAAAGTTATTAGACATGACCAATACTAAAAATGTTAGGCCAAAGTCTATATTGCTATTGTTTTCCATATTTCTACATTTAAAAATCCTACAAAATATATTCATCAGCTTCATCATCAACACATCACACAAACAAACCTTTATATAAGAATCCCATAAACATGATCAATACAACATTGTGATATGTAGTTAAGCTAAGAAGAGATACAAATAAATATAAAATGTGATACAATTTTCACTTTAAAAAATCAATGTTTAGGTGCTCTCTGCTAGACTTTACTATGACATTTTAACACTCTGTCGAAATGAACTCAAAAGCTCCATCCACTGATGTCGTTAAAAACAGTGAAAACAACAAGGAGGTAATATCTTGAGCGGAGACATTTTTTTGTCAAACTCAAACGTATTTTTGGGCATTTCTTTACTATAATTTAAATTATTTGATACCAATATACCGTCTTGTGAAAAGCTGAAATCCAATATCAACCATGTCAAGGTATTATTAATATTACATATTTGTTGGGATCCATTTATTTAGTGCTTCACGTAGACATCAGGAACTTTTGACCTGCCTCTGTTTGAGGAATGTAAGCAGAGTTTCCAGACGCACCTTAAAGAATTCGTTTCCATGGCTGCTGAGCAGAGCGTCGGACTGAGGCTTATTCTTGCTGTACAGAGCATACATTCCAAACTGATCCTCCTGCACAGAAGATTAACATGTTACAACACTGACTACAGTAAGAGGTATGCATTTCAGCATGCCAAACACCATAATGAGTCAGCTCCAAGGAGACAGTTATTGTATGGGTTCATTATGCTGCTGATGAGGGACTAAATGGGGATACAAACAATAATAGAACGGTACAGTGAAAACATGAATACGTTTAAAACAATAACTTAAAGTGGACCTATCATGCTATATTTTAAACATATATTGGAAGTCCATACCTATATAAAACATGTCTGTGAAGTTTTTTTTTCAAAATACCAAACAGTTCACCCATTGTAGCCATGCCTCATACTGCTCAAACCCCTATTTTGCAGCCCTGTTAGAGAAACGCAGATTTTGGGTCCTTAGCTTGAAAAAAAGAAAGAAGAGGAGGCGGAGATAATGCCTGATCAGAATTCTACCGGAGATAAAGTTAAATTCGGTTGTGATAAATCGCCATCCTGTTTAAACCACGTCAAGGATTATTTCTGAAATAGTATGGAGCTCAAATGCTTTTTCTCTTGCAGGTTAATCACAAGGTGAGTTCTTTTTTTATTTCCTGCTTTTTAAAACACATGTGCTCTACAGTACAGGTTAGCTCTGAGTGTTAGCGAGGCTTGCTAATGTACACAAAGACGTCCAAAACACGTCAGGCATTGTTTCTGATAGCAACTCTCTGTGGGTCCTCCGCCGCTATGACGTCACAGCGGATGGAAATCTGTATCCGCTTGTTGTACACCCGTTTTTAAAAGATTTGGGTACGGAGGAAAAGAGAGAGGGTTTTATTTTCTGACGCTGCGTGAGTTCCCCGACGCACCGGGGACACATATTTATGTATAAAAGACATCACAAAGTGCATTTTGCATGATAGGTCCCCTTTAAGTTGTTTTTAAAAACATCGGTGACTGTCAGCGGGCTGCTTCAGGGCAATACGACTGACTGTCTGGACTCACGTGTCTTTGAAAGCAGCTGCTGATGGACAGTGGGGAGTGGGCGCAGGACTCCAGCTCCTTCAGGAAGTACCGACTGTGGAAGTCCCACAATTTCTCCACGTTCCCGAAAATGATGCTGCGCTTACCCCTCAAGTCCTGGGGCAAGTCCAGGCGCTCCATCTCGGGGAAATAGTGCTCAATGATGTAGTTGAGAGAGCGGACGTACTCCCGCTCAGTGGTGATCATCTCGTCCATGATGTGCTGCACTTTACTGGTGGACAGAAAGACATGATAGGGTGTAAGAGTATTTAGGATATTTACTGTGCATTGGTACATATACAAAACAACATTAGGTAATCAACACAAACATTTACAACTATTTTGATGATTTAAGTAATCCTTTTATAAATCAAAAACACAATTCTTATTTGTATTTCAAATAAGGATTTGCGTATTTCATCAGAATTATTTTATAATATACAAATAAATTGGAATATTTTAGGGTTCCTTTAACAATAATTAAACCATATTTGTCTGGGAATCTACACAGAAAGTTTTTGTTACACTGGAAAGAACTTCCCAAAAAAATTGAACTGCAGTTTTCCAGCTAAGTTTGTTAGAAATGTCATATTGTTTGTTCTGTTTTTGTGGTTTTTGTCCATGCTCTCTACATATAAACACTTTTATAATACAACATGTAAAGTAATATTCCAGTTTATGTTTAATATCTTTGGTTCACTTCCTCACCTGCTCTGTTTCTTGCCCTCTACCTCAGTGCCTCCGTTGTTGATCCTGGAGGGCGTGGACATGCTGCGGCTGCGTCCTAAAGCGGGGCTCATCACGTCAGGTCTCTGCAGCTTCTTCTCTGCACACACGTTATTAGCCACCTCCAAACCCTTTATGTACACACCAGTGTAGCCGTGAATGTGGCTGACGTCCGAGTGATGACCGCTGTCCCTCTGGGTCAGCTCATAGCTCATCGTCTTCTTCATGATCTTCTTCATGGGCTGCTTGCGTAGGCGGGACGTCCCGGAGTAGACGGGCTCTGAGTGGCAGGATATTGTCGAGTCGATGGTGCAGTCGCTGTCTGTGTCGTCAAACAAGGACGGACTCTGCCTTAGTTTACTGTCTTGGTCGGGGGAGAATGTGAAATGTGAGGAGGATATTGAACTGGTTGGGCTCTTGGAGAAAGGCCCAGCAGAGTGGGGCTTGATGTCCTCAAAAGTTAATGGTGAAACAGGGAAAATAACACATGCTTTCACGCCATGATGATCTGTGGTGGAAATCTGGCTTTCTGGAGTCTTTAAAGAAGCCGCTATGTCAACAGCCGTGGTGTTTGGGGATGGAGTCATGGCTCGAGCCAAAGTCTCTTCTAACTGCTGTTTGGTCTGCTGACACTTGTGCCACACGGAGGTCCACTGCTGCAGCTGCTGAGGACTCTCCAGGGAGAGCACCATGTCGTTCAGGATGCCAAAGTTGTCCGTGGAGAACTTGGATGCCTCGGTGTAGTAATCCTGCAGGATCTTTTCCACAGATGGGGAAATTCCGGCACCTGTAGTGTCCAGATTCAGCTGATGGAAATAATCCTGGCAGTGCTCGATCCACTGGTTTGCCTATCGTAGTTGGATACAAAGTATAGGTAATCCAGAAAGAAATATGAAAAATACTTCTGGATTATGATTAATTTATATAGTATTAATTGGAAAGTACCCTGGATGAAAGTGTATTCTTGATCCTACCCCAGGCTTTTATTTCTGTATAATAAAAATATGCTTTTTGCTGTGACATTTTTCATTAGTTTTTACTTACAGAGTCATAGAAGTCATACAGGTTGGTTAGGATGTCTAGCTGGGTCTTCCTCTTCTCCACTCTGCTTAGGATGGAGCCCAGATGTTGTTTGAAGTCAAGGAGAGCTGAACCTGGAAGAGACTCCGGAGAGTCTTTGACCAGCTGCAGGCCGTGTCTCTGCTGGTGCTGTCAGGATAAGGACAACACAGATCAATAAAGCACTAGTTGTCTTCAAACGATTACACATAAGAATATGTTTTGAGGCCATATTTACCACTGACTCCTCCAGAAACGGTTCCAAGCTCTCTCTCATCTCCTTCACTTTGGCCACAGACAGAGTGATTGATTCCAAAGGCGTGAGCTGCTTCTCTCCTTCTACACTGAACCAGAGTTTTATCTGGAAAGAGAGGGCGGTTTTTTATTTTTTATGAGTATTCTATTTTTGTCAAGAGAAATAAGAAGCATCAGAAAATCTGCAGCACAATGATGACAATGACAAGCGTGAAGCTCACCTGTTGTGCTTGCTCCTCAAAAGTGCGCACCTCCAGCAGGCTCTCTAACTGTTTCTGTGACTTGTTGGAGAGGATCACGAGCTTATGGACTTCTTCATCTACTTGGTTGTACAGTGCATTCAACATGTCTACAGCATCTCTAAATAAACAAAGAAAACAATAAGAAGTTATAAGAAGTGTATTTAATCGTCACCACAGGTTGTATTCATGTTAACACATGTGGTTAACACTCTCTTCCTTCAGTACCTGTAGTTTTCATTCTCAGAGGCCTCGTCCTTCCTGATGCGTGCGAGGACAGTTCCTCCTTCTAAGCGCAGTCTGTTTAGACGGGTGTCATCGAGTACACGCTTCATGAGAGTCTTCTGCTGTTCCATCACCTCAGACACCTCCTGAAATAAACATATAACAAATAAAGGTGAACACAGTTAAAATGTTAACTAATACATATCACCATGACACTTCCCCAGTTGATAACTTTGACTACATTATGATATTTGTTTTGTATTTCAAGTATTCTGATGTTTGAATATAAAAATGTATGTTGCATATTTGTGAAATGTTTATGCCAAATGTGTATTTGAAATGATTTATTTTAGTCTGTTTTGGGAATTCCTGTTAGTGACCTCAACAGCACAAAGATCATGAAAGGTACTCATTAAGCAAACTCCTGAACTGTTTTCGGTTAAGGTGAAACAGCAAAGAGCTATTGTGTGTCAGACGTATAATAAATCAGAAGGCCAGACCGCCAACAGGAGCTGGTTTCTGACCTCAGAGGTCTTCAGGTTGCCGCTGTTGCTCAGGGTGCTGATGGACTCCTGAAGAGAGGAGATGGCCGCGCTACAACTGCTGGCAAATGGGTCGATTTTCTGTGAAAGAGCGAGAGAAAGTGACAAAGTGAGAATATTAGCACTAGCAAATGTAAAGAAAAAGGCCATTTATTAACGACATAACTTTGACAAAACATGTAATATATAATATATGTGGTTAATAACAACTAGGATCCAACTCAAACAAAACTTATTTTTGCAAAGGTGTCCCCACCCTAGCCAATCTATTAAGCAAGTTTACAAATATGTTTACAACTCCCAGCCGCCCCCGTCACACCCACCTGTCTGAAGTGGATCCAGTGCTTGTGGTCGTAGTGGAAGTGGCCCTCTAGCTCTCGTGTGAGCTGGGTGTGATCGATGTGCTTCTGCAGGGCTTTCAGAGACGACAGTGTTTCAGTCTGTTGCAAGAAAAGATAACAAACACATGTCTGTGTCAGCACAGACTCCAACAAAACATTACATGGGAATACATCACATCTAAATCTAATTGAAAAGATTGCAAATCTCTTATGAAATGTCATTAGATCTAGCATTTAAGCAGGAGTGAATCACTTAATTCAAAACACCCATCATCCATCTGATAAAAAAGGGTAATTCACCTGTACATCCATGTCTCTCTCAGGTTTGGCTGCTGTCTCCTTGTCCACCAGGAAGAGAACAGTGTAAAGTGCATTGGGTGCTAACGCCTGAAAAAAAACCATGCCAAAAGAATGACAAAGTGACTTCAAATACAGAAAATAAATGATAATACATGTAGATATAGAATGCGTAGTAAAAATGACTTATGACGCACGTGTTGTGGTTTAAATAATTATGATCCTGACATCAGTATGAAATCTCATCACCATAACATGATGATATGTCTCTTGTAAGACGGCTGCAGCCAGCCTGCTCCCAGTGTGCGGTTAAAAACAGACATGTAAGTACAGGCTTCCCCACAAGAGCCCTGAGGGCAGACTTTTTCAGAAAAATGTCTTGCAACTGCAGTACTTATACATTAGAAGGTGTGTCACTTAAAAAAAGTAAACAAGAGACTGTGAAACAGACTGAAAGCTAGAACAATAAGAAGTGTGTAAGGAGCGTCATAGTGTAATAACTGTGAGAGAGCCGGCCAAGAAGACAACAGAGATTTAGCAGCGTCTGAACACTCTCTGGGTGTGTGTTGGAGAGAAATTACATATTTTCCACTGCGGGCTCACCTGCAATTCAGACAGAGATGACAACAGAGCTGGAACAGACTGCTGCCTCCTGCTGTCTATCACAACAGTTAAACCTTGATCACACCTTTCTTTCCTGAAACCAAAGCATTACTGTCAGTGCACTGTCTTTAATCAAACACTTGACTGCATGAAATATCATCATTTGACGGCTAAGAAATCAATTGAGGGAAACCTGATGAAAGAAGAAGATAATATCACATTTTAAGATGAATTTGGAGAATCTAACAACTTCAATAACATTGATCTAATATTCTCTACTTGAAATACCTTACTTAAAGACCTTTACTGACCTTACCCCATATACAAATTCTGACTTTTTCATTCATTTATAAGTTATCAAAGACAGCTGCAGTTAGAAGCAAAAGGCTAAATGTGTTAATGCGCACTCATGCTAACCTCAGGGCTAAGACACAGCTGTGAAAGTTACTGGAGTTATTCTTAACTCAGACAAACCAAACCCAGAGTGTATGACTTACCGCAGCGTGGAGTAGTAGTAGCCCAGTAAACAGGTGAGGTCACTGACCGTGCAACTCTCACCTGCCCATACCTGAGCTCTGGTGCACACCTGCAGCACGGCCCTCCCACTGCGATCTCGGTTTCCTGGAAGAGAGAAGGCCAGAAGGGGGTCACTGACTACTCACATGTCAACTTCATTTTCTATGTCAGGAGTGTTTGAGCTTGAGCAGCTCACTATGATCACAATGTCCTCCTCTATGTAGGGGGATCAGATACTAATGCAAAAAGTATTAAAAAGTTTCTATAATATCTGTTAAATCAAAAGTGAAGTTGCAAAAAACAATGAATGGAGGGGAATATCTTGTTTTGCATATCATCCTTTCACGACAGACCTTACACAGTGCAATATTATCCAGAAATAAACCAGTAGTATATTAAAAACTAAAAATATCCTCAACGGTTCATAAACTAAATTAAGATAATGTCTCGACACTGTATCCTCTGTTAAGGCCTATTCTTAATTTCCAGCAATGGAGAAGACATGTTGATATACCGATGATATATCATGGTTCAAAGGGATTTTTTTACAACAGTGTAACGGTTTAATAAGGATTGCACATTTGTTGTTTAGTTGTGAAATTAACTAAAGGCGATCAAAAATGTGATCAGAAACAAAGAATCAAAACACATAATTTACTTAACAGATTTCTCAAGCTCTACAATTTAAAGATTATTATTTGGGGGCTTTTTCCTTTATTATACATACAGCTGGAGAGAGACAGGAAAGGGGGAGCAAGAAGGGATGACAACAATGGCCAAAGATTGTGCTCAAACCCATGGCTACTGTGACAAAGACTCAGCCTTAGTACATGGGCCGCCCGCCCGCCCTACAATGTAAACTACTGGGGCACTATGTTCTGCTTTCAATGTGAGTGAAATATGATAGAGTACAGGACTATTACATGAGTTTGCCAGATACCTGTAAGACAAGCCATTAGGTCAAATTGAAAGCAGCTTATGTCAACAATGTCTGCATTACTTGTCCCCTACCTGGCAGGATCACAGCACCCGATGTGAGCAGCTCTTGGTTGAGCTCTGACACCAGTTTAGGGAGAGCCGAAAAACTCTCAAAGGAAAAGCCTGATGCTGAAGGCCTCTTGATCGTCGTCCCATTGGCTGCTTTAGGACTGTGCGGCTCTTCTCCACTATGCCTGTGCCGCCTGCTCTCAGTGCTGATGGTGTCATCACGCTGTCCTGTTGAAAAACATATAAATAGTTGGCACATTGTCAGAGTGATACTTACTAAGCCGCAACTGCACAAAAATACAGTGCAATCAATATAAATTAGAAGCTTCCTTTCACCTCAGTAGTAATCGTAACTCCTCACAAAACAAGTGTTTATTATAGGTGAGGTAGGTGCTGTAGTAGTGAGTTCACTTTGAGTCATCATGGAGACCAGGTGTTTAGTCGGCCTGACTCATGAGTACTCATGGCGGTAATAGACTCTTATCTTCACATCTTCATCTTCCAAACCTGGAGGCTCTGTTTATGGGAATGCTGCTCCTGACACAATTTATAGGCTTGAACCTATTTCTGAAGTGGAAAACTCAGTCTAGCTGTTTAATCACTGAATACTTCACTGCGCCTCACTAAGATCTGTAAGATGGTTGACAGAACAATAATGGACAACAAATGTGTTAAGTCATTTCCCAAGCTTAAATTCTCTGGTTTTAACACTTTAACAAGGCAAATTATGCCACTTTAGACTAGACTAAATTGTAAGCTTGTATTCTTTCCACTATTTTGGAAATCTTTAAAATAAACTATTAATCGTTTGCAAAAGAAAGCAGTGGGATTATATTTGAAAATAAAAAGAAGCATTACATGCAGCCCTAGTTTTAAAACTGAGGAAACTCAACTCAGAGTATTTGATTTGTAGTACAAAGTGTGACAGCTCATCTGTTTTGGTTGCCATGTTTGCTGCACACACTTGAGCCTGGTGTGAATATAGCACCTAGATGCTATCTATCCACACATCCCAGAGTTGTGGCTTTTTTGTTGGGTTTTCCTTTGCAAATATAAAACCAATGCAGCTCATCTACTTTTCACCCTACTGATGTCACAGACTTTAACTCTTCATTATTACAACTCATTTGTAATACATAGATTTTACCATCATGTTTACTTTTGTCTGCCACCCAGGAAACCAGGCTGTAACAAATGTTAACACTTGTGTTTTATGAGAACATTTAAAATACCATATAAGACTGTTTAAAGCCATGTATGTGGCTATGTGGCTTTAATTAGACACAGGAATGCTTTGAGCTAAAGGCTAATATCAGCATGCTAACGTGCTGATGTTAAACAGGGGTAATGTTTACTGGGTTCACCGTCATACAGTTTAGCATCGTATCATGCTTGAGCTTTTTACTTATCAATGATATTTGTCACATGTAATCTTAGACTATAGGACATTCATGCCAGTTCCCTTCATTTGTGCATTAAAAGAGATTAAATACAGTATTAGTTGTTAAAGGTCCCATGTCATGCTTTTCCGGTTATTACCTGTCCCCTTGTGTGTTATGTAGCTTTTTCTGCATGTAAACAAAGTACACCCTGTAGCGAGTAAAACTCTAACACAGAAAAGACCTGTCTATGCTGCCCCAGAACGCCTCGTTGGAGATTTGTCTTTTTCTTCCTGGGTACAGTGACGTGACCATGCCCAGGTCCAAATGGACCTATCCGTGGACACGCACACACACACACACACACACACACACAGAGTTCCCGTTAGCCGGTAATTACCGGACTACGACCGGTAAAATATGCTGAAGACCGCTAAATCTAAATCTCTCCGGTCAAAGTGTCCGTTCAAAATAATTTCCGCTTAGCGCAATACCACATCAGTTGCGCAACTTGCGCCATTTATGTGACAGACAAAAGAGTATGTGACAGACAAGAATAGTCAATTCTAATGTCTAACACTTAATGTGGAGAAAGAGATGTCCTGGATGGGTTGATTGTGCGTTGATCTGTTGGTAATGCCTCGGGGTTCCGGTGGGCATGTAAACAAATGCATAATGCTGCGCTATACTTTGCGGCCTCGCCCGGTTGCATAGCGACACTTATTGTTTAGGTGTCTTTTAATAAGCAGGTAGTCATATCATTAGCTAGAACTAGCTGGATCTGATCGATATGGACATAAACGCGAGTGAAGTCTAATCTGACGGGAGAGAGATCAGCTGCTGCTGACGAGTCGACACGCAGCTCTGCATAATCACATGCAGCGGTGAGCGGAACAAAACACACACTTCAGGTTAGAATATCACACGTAGCTATTTTAATGACCTCTCAAACTACCTACACTCGTTATAGATATGTTTAATTTTACTGTCGGGTCACTCATTACTGATCCACGAGCTGCATGATACTGAGGGGGAGGGGGGAGTTTAGGACAGAGAGTGAATACACATACTATACAGAGATGCTGTATGAGAAACCAATGTGATTTTGGAACATTGCACAATGTAAATCTATTCTAGTATACCTCAACAATGGAATTATGATCAGTAGAAATGGCCATGACATGGGACCTTTAAGATATTTCAGTCTGGCTCAAAGCGGTGGTCTAACCCGCTGACCAGCAGACATTCCCATCCCTAGAGCCGCAGTCATAAATGATAGAGGTCATTTCAAACCATGAAAGAACTAATAGGCTTGGAAAAAATAATAAAACCTTGATAAGCCATTGTGCAGCCAACTCTACAGTTAGATCTGTAAATATCAGTTTCTGATGGATACCTGTTGTGTGTTTTTAAACCGTTTGAGGCCTCTTGTATTGTCCTGCTCTGCTCTGTGACAGTAAACCTCCCAGCTCAGCCTCTATTGTCTTCAAACGGTCGGTGCATTTCCTGTGCGACTGTGTGGCCAGGCCTGTGTTTGCTGCATGTTTCCTAAATTGCTTTGTTTTCAGAGGAAGTGGCAAATGTAGAGTAAAGCCTCCTGAGTATTGTCCAGTGTGAAAGTCTGTATTTTGTGTAGTCTGCTGGACACATTGGAAAGCCGTAAAGAGGCTAAATGTGCACTGGTGGATGGACCTTTGAGTAACTGATCACATAAATCACAGAGGATGTGTTTTGATTTTGCAGTTTGCTCGTACATATCATGAGTAATTCAACCCCTTCAGGAGTATTTCTTTCACAGTACTGTGAGTCAGAGAATGTTAGGTTTTGTTTTCCTCGACTGAATGGACTCTCCAAAGACACAGGTATGGATTGAAAGGCTTTTTTCCCCTTGTGGATCCCCAGTGGCTGATTGATTTACAAAGAAACGTTTGTAAATGAGAGAACCCATCTGGGACCCCCAGCCCCAATAACACTGTAGGGTCATCTCATTGTGGGATGCTGGGGTCCCTGTGGTTGGTTTACAGGGTTTACAGGATCCTTTGTTGCCTTTCAAATGTCGTTGTGGGAAACCTGCTTTGCAACAGCTGAAATACAATCCCCTCTGAGGTAATCTCAGGAACGCAACACCAATGTCATTTAACTACTGTATTTTTGCTGCATAGTGGGTATTTCACAGACTTAAAAATAACACTCACCTCTGATTGAACAATACTAACAACCTTAGCTATGCTCTGGCATTGTTCAGGGTACAGATTCAAAGATTTAAATAAATTCAGCCAGTTTTAACCTCACATTTCAATTCACGGAAGAATCTGTGTTTTTCTAAAAACAACTGAATTCCCTGGGTGGTATTCTCACATCGCCCCTTTCCTGAGCTACCCTGTATGAACCAACACAACAAAAACAGACTGACAGTGGTAAAGAAAACACAGGGTGGTGAGGTTCTGAAGTTTTGTTTCCAGGGTAGGGCCATACCTGTACCCTGAACGTGCCAAAGACTACACAGAGTGGGCTTTGAAAAGCTATCTGTCACCAATGACAGCGTTAACGCTTTAGGTTAAAAGCTGTCTCAACTCCAACTGCAGCCACCTGACATTCTGATGTAACCGCTCCTACTGCAGGGCACGAGTACTCACCCTGGTGAGGAACCGCCATTATTTGACTATTAAGAGTGAAACTTGGTTTTCGCGCCCTTAGGTTATATTATTAGATAAGGGAGACATGAGTCATGGACTATAATTAAAATTCAACCACTCTTGTAGAAAACAAAACTGAATACAATCCTGTATTAGTTTTGAGTTCTTCAGAAAGCATACAACCAAATCAATTTGATATATTTAACCCTCATTTTAACTGGGATGTGAACCTTTTACAAATTTGTCATAATTGTATATATATATTCTTTGTTGGAACTAAACCTAAACAATCTCGAAAAGCAGAGTTCTGTCATTTCAAAGCTTTACTCTTTGGTCTAGTAGTGAGTTTTAATGGCAGCAGGTGTATATGGGATTGACACAAAATAAACCAAACATGTCCTGCATTCAAAATGTAGTTTGGTAAATGGCCAAGTTATATCTTAACATTATATTAATGTTATTATAAACAGTTCCCTTACTCCCATTTTGAGTAATACATATGGTAGTGTGTCCCAAAACTGTACTTAGTAAATCTTCTTTGGAACTTTCTATTGACGGTAAAGCCAACAGAAAAGGTATGTGCGTGTCAAATGTTACAGTAACTTAAGTGTGATTTATTTGACAGCATCACATACCTGAGTCGTCTTTGCTGCTTCTCCTCTCAGAACCAGGCAAAGCTGCCTCAAGGTCCAGCTTCCCGAAACGAAGAGCGTAGCCATTCATCAGCTTTTTAGGGGTGGTGGTACCTGAGCCCCCAGAGGAGGATCGCTCTCTGTGGCCTTTAACCTGTCCAGCCTTGTTAGTCCTCTCCAGCGACTTTGAGCGTCTTTCTGCTCGTCTCTCTGCGCTCCTCAGCCCCCTCTGTAAGTAAAGTAAAGGTGTGCTGGGCCTGGAGTCATCTCCACCGAGCCAGCTCCGGCTGCCCAACCTCCGAGATAAGTGTTCTCTGGAGGAGGTCCGGGGGTCTGGGCTGCTGCCTGGTGTCACTGGACTCTCTCTTAAGCAAGCACTGTGCTCTGAGCTTTCCTCCAGTATGGATTCAGAGCTGGACCCGAGACTCATGGGATTCTGCAGGGCCTCCATGTAAGACTTCCGGAAAAGTCTTCTGCTCTCAAATTGAACGGAGTCCCTTGGGAGGCGACGGCGAGGGCCTGGGTTACTGAGGTCCGTGCTAAAAGACAGCATCTTGGAGGCCCGCCCAGCGCTATCCTCGCTCCCTATCCCACACTCTTCAGTGGGCCTTTCCATTTTAATGATGGGTGTAGCAGCGTCCGGAGCACTGTCACTGTGGCTCCCACCGCTAGGGTCCATGAGGGGTCTGTGTGGGGAGTTTGGCTCAGAGAAGATAGAGTCAGCTCCCTGAGAGTGCAGCGACTCTCTGGAGCTGCGGTGGCTGTCCAGAGTGCCCGTGGACCCGCTGGTGCTGCAGGTGCTCAGGTGACCACGGAAGCCACCTCTGTTGCAATGCGCCTGCATGATGGCGTCTGCCGTGCTGCTGACAAACAGAGGGTTGACCACGTTCTTCCACGGCGTCCTGAACACAGCCGTACCAGTGGTGAGCAGACAGTTCTGTAGTGGGTGCAGGTTTCGGTCCCGTGTTACATTCTGCAAGAACTCAGCTGTGAAGACGCTGCCATACATGCTCTCTGCGATGGGGACTTCTGTAATTGCCTGCCCAGTGACCGACAGACATTTTATCACAAGCTTTGCAGTCTTACGGCCTAAAGGAACAATCTGTAAGTAGAAGTCTCCTTGCTTTAGTCGAACTTTGTGCAGGGGGGCAAGCTGCAAAACGACTTTCTCGTGGATGCAGAGAGGCCACCCCTCATGATAGAACAGCAATCCTCTGAACCTCACCTGAGAGAAAAGAGAGAAATCTGTCAATACCCACTCTCATAAAAGTGTGTCATTGCTCAGCTGTGGTACGACTGACATCTGCAAAGCTGTGTTCAAACACATGTTTAATTTTAATGGAGTGGCTAGATGTTTTCACGGGACACACAGGATGAATCACTGATGGCAATCACTCGACTAAAGAGTGAAACCTGTCTGATCAGGCCTGGTTTCGCAGCAAGCAGAACACAATATTTATTCTGTGACAGAATAAGAAACAGGCTCTAAAAGCAAAGATGCTGTGCTTGAAGGGTTTGTTTGAGGATGTGATCTTCCTCTGAAGCCTCTCATATTGCCTTCAATACAAAGACTCTCATGCATATAGTAAGCTGTTCTCAGGGGATATGCTTGGGTCAAACTATGGCTATCGTCAGAGTGTAATCACAGCTCAGATGAATGCAGAGGAATACAGTTTCCGTGCTTCGGTTGTAGAAGCCTAACCCACAGCAATCAAAGCTTGTGAGCGAGAATATTGGATTTCACCTTGGACCCAAGAGTCCATGGCAGCCTCTCAAACAGACAACAGTTTGCCTCTGTTTTCCTATTCAGAGAAAGATGGCAGCTTTTCATCTTGTTTTCGGAACAATAATGAACTCTGTCTCAGTCTGATGCTCCCCCTTCCCACTCAGCACAGATATTCACACTCAGCAGCACTGTTCTCACATTCTTTTGTCACAATTTTTTTTCGCCACTTTAGTGGCTTATCTATCATGATGTTTATTATTCAATGTTTGGTTTGTTCAAAGTGTTTAGGAAAGGAGATATGGAGAGTTGTTTAAGGAGGGTTTTGAATTGTTTCTCTTGTGTGCAGTTTCTTAATGTTTTATTTCAGAATGAGGCCAAAAAGGATCCTGGAAAAAATAACTACTATATTGTTAATCAAAATGATTTTGGAAATAAATCACAGAAGGTCAAATCAATGTATCCTCAGCTTCCACAGTGATGAATAACTCACACAGGTTTCTTGTTGGATGATCTGAAGGATCCTCTTGGCAGGAAGCAAGAAGTCAATGAGGCAGCGGAGGCCGTCTCCTCGGTACTGCCTTTCCACCACACTGAAGAGCTGCCACAGGACGGTGGCCGCGGTGGAGCTGAAGGGGCGGTAAAGGGCCGACAAGGTGCTCTGGATACAGCTGTCCAAAGACTCAGTGTCCTGAGGAGGAAGACAAAGAACTGTTTTATGTTGGATATCTTAAAACAGATAACGTTTTTGCTAAATATCTCACGGTAAAAATAAGTCTAAAAGCCACTTAGACATGGCTAAACAATAAAACATATGCAACATGGACATGGAGTGTAGACCGGTGGCTCCCAACCTTTTCGCCTTTTGATCCCTTAAAGCAAAACAAAGTCTACAACATCATCACAGCTTTCATTGTAAGGATTTTAAGTAGTGTGAATTAGTATGCAGCATTTTACAAGATTCAAAAAGAAAAGAAAAGGCAGAAAAGAACACACATTCTGTGATTTATAATGCATATGCCTCTTTTCTTTGGACCCTTTGAGGGATACGGCCCTTATTTCAGAAACCACTAGTCCGCCGTGCGTTTAGAGCAAACATGTTAATCTAAAGGCGCGTTCACACCAAGTACTTTTCCCACAAAGGTTCCTGAGAACTCTTTAGTTCTCATGAACTAAGTACAGATCGCGTTCACATCTATGGTTCACACCGGAAATTAGTTCCTGGGGGTGGATTAGGCAAATGAAGCCGCTGACGTCACTTCTTCTTCTTCGGGTTTACTGGCAGGCCGCAAACAACTTCACGGCATATACTGTGTCACTACCATGGATGTATAATAAGAACTGGATACAGCGTGGGAGGCGGGACCTCATTCATTCCTATGAGAGTTGCTCATTGGCGCATGATGACAAAATGGCCCAACTTTTGAGGGAGCGAAACGTCACAGATTACCCGGCATGCTTGAGAAGTACCCGTATGTGCACTCATAGAGCATGCGCAACTTTACCACGCCGCCCAAAAGGCTCGTTCACATTAAGCACGTGAATTTGCGTACACGTAACAGCACGCACGTTCATGACAGCATGGTACTGGATTTAACGAGGCAGTTAGCAGCTAGCGGCTAGCTAGTAAATTATGCTAAATTACACATCAATCATTATGTACTTTTATATTACGCTGACATCAGGATCTAGTGATATCTAAGCAACAGAGCTTCATTTAGCATGATACTTGTGTGGGTTGTACATGAAACCACTTGGTAATATATACAAATGTATATGTTGAAGCCTGTTATGATCAATTGTGAGTTAAAACTTTATCTAAAAAGTAAAGCTGATGATGGATTACTGTGGTGGAGTTAAAATAACAATAGCCTATTTCTTTTTGAAATGTGATGGAGTAAAAGGATAGTAACTGTGATTATTCATGTTAAGTAGCCCACAAGTAACTAAAACAATTGCAAGTGCAATAAGAAGCTAGAGGAACGTTAATCTACGTCGGTAATATTAACTTTACATTTACATTTACTTTACATACAACATTTACGGTACAAGATTTACATCATACAGCCCATGTAGTATAATATTTTACAAATGATGAATTACAGCAAACATGTGCAATATATCCATTATTACAGCTCCGTGGGATGGCAGTAAGGCCATATGGTCCGTTGTTATTGTGCATCCATGGGTAAAGAGAAACTCATGTAGTACTGAACACGTAACTTGAACGTGCCGGGCGGCGCGGTCCCGTGGGTTAGATGCGCGTTCATAATGCCGAGGGAAATAACTCTCAGAATAACGTTAATAACAAAACATTTTAATAGGGGCTATACAAACGTTCATACTGGGTAGTTTATTTAGTTTAAAAAAAATTATCCAACGAGTTACAGACCACTCTTTCCCAATGTAAGTCAATGGGAAAAAGTGTTTCCGGGCCCGGCAACCTAAAGGAAGTGTAGTACTGCCGTTTGACCAGCACGAATATTCTCATCAGACTCCGGCGCACTTCCTGGGGGCTTGGTCACTACCCGATCCGTCCCCCTGCCCGATCGGTACTGCGCATGTGCGAGATGGTCCGCCATATTGGACAACTCCGGACGGCAACCCAAGATGGACACTTGACACAGTGGCTTTTAGCAAAGCTCAAAAAGAAAACTCGAGAGAGATGAGTTATTGTTATTACAACGTGACTTCACTATTATTTAACAACTCTTTTTATTGGGTTCTTTTATTTGGGGTTAAGTACATTGTCAGAATAAGTGAGAAATGGATTTAACTTCTGTTAGACAGCTATCATACTGAATAAATATTAAAAAATGTATGGCATATGACTGTCTAACAGAAGTTAAATTCATTCCTCACTTATTCTGACAATGTACTTAACCCCAAATAAAATAACCCAATAAAAAGAGTTGTTAAATAATAGTGAAGTCACGTTGTAATAAAAATAACTCATCTCTCTCGAGTTTTCTTTTTGAGCTTTGCTAAAAGCCATTGTGTCAAGTGTCCATCTTGGGTTGCCGTCCGGAGTTGTCCAATATGGCGGACCATCTCGCACATGCGCAGTACCGATCGGGCAGGGGGACGGATCGGGTAGTGACATACTGCCGCCCAAAATCCCCGGCCAGAAGTCCCCGGAGTTGGGCGTCCACACAGCAGCGTGCGTTGACGCTTGGAGGTGGGCGTATCTGAAGCTTGGGGATTTTTTGCGAGCAACGCGACCAACAACCAATCACATGAATCTCCCGCCCCCGACATACAAAGCAATAGCAATGTTAAAACGAAGTAAACTGGATATAAAATCCCCAAACAGGCGACAACCTACCAGTTTCATCCACTGTCTCTGCCACCTCCCTCCATGCCTCGCTCCTCCGGTTTGTATCCCGGTAGATGAACAGAGACTGATCATACAGCACCGGGTGATTCACTACCGCTATAATGAATTTTCCCTCCATTTTTTGGAATATGAGGAAATGACCTGCGTAGTCTCTCCCAGCATACACGCGGTTTGATTGGCTAGCGCTTGTACTGGCAGATTTGCATAAACGGGATTTCATTGGCTGACGCCTCCGTCGAGGCGTCAAAAGTTGAACATTGCTCAACTTTTGAAGCCAGCAACGCTCCACGTCGCTTCCCAAAATGCAGTTCGGCTAAAAGTGACGTCACCCCATTCAAAGTGAATGGGCAGAAGCGTTGGAAGCTTCAATGCACGCCGCTGTGTGGACGGGCCGTTAGTCCCAGCAGCTTCTCCTGAAGCCTTCCGAGTAAACGGCCAGAACGCCGACACCTCCTCATCCCCACCGCTCCCATGTTTTATTTTGTGTTGTCATAAGTTAGTGTCTCTGCGTTTCTGCGCTGGGCTAATGCTAATAATGCAATGCGAAGATAATAAAATGGCGGCTTCACAAACGTTTTTGGGAGTTTGACGGGTCGTGGTTTGCAATCCGCCCAGCCAATCAGACACAGGAACCTTTTTCTCTCACGAAAGTCCCTGCTCTCTAACAGGGACTGAAAAGGGTGTAAAAAAGGTTCTCTAGAACTAATTTAGTTCCTGGGACTTTTTGGTGTGAACGCAACTAAATCGTAGTTCTCAGGAACCTTTGTGGGAAAAGTACTTGGTGTGAACGCGCCATAGGAGGACTAAGAGCTGTGCTCAATGCTAACAACAAACAGACTCACAATGCTAACATGCTGATGTAATGCTTACCAGGGCCCTTTCTCATTTCTCTAACTCCCCTCCTCGAGACTTAGTCCAGGTCAGGGTGTTCTCCTGTTTCACTGGGTGTCCCCCAGGGGTCAGTATTGAGTCCACTCCTATTCATCATTTACCTCCTCCCACTAGGCACAATCCTCCGTCACCATGGCATCCACTTTCACTGCTATGCTGACGACACGCAAGTCTATATCTCAACCAAACCCAACACCGCCCTCCCGCCCACCTCCCTCACCACCTGCCTCCAGGATATCAGGAGCTGGATGAGCAGGAACTTCCTGAAGCTAAATGGTAGTAAAACTGAGGCCCTGCTCATCGGCTCAAAAAACACCCTCTCCAAAACCTAACCACCCCACCCCCAAGCATCATGATCGACGGCTTCCCTGTATCCTTCACCAGCCAAGTCAAAAGCCTTGGCGTCATCCTGGACAGCACCCTTTCGTTTGCACCCCACATAAAAAACATCACCCGGACTGCCTTCTTCCATATCCGCAACATTTCCAGACTCCGCCCATCCCTTTCACAATCCAGCACCGAAATCCTGGTTAATGCATTTGTCACATCCCGGATTGACCACTGTAATGCTATCCTCTCTGGCAACTACCTCTCTCTCCACAAAACTACTCAACAGACTCCAAATCATTCAAAACTCGGCTGCCCGGATCATTACCATCATTATCGTCTGACCACATCACCCCCATCCTCATCCAACTTCACTGGCTCCCTGTTCAGCACCGGATTGACTACAAAAACCTTCTGCTTACATACAAAGCCCTCAACAACCTCACCCCCACCTATCTCTCAAACCTCCTCCAGGAATACACCCCCTCCCGCTCCCTGCGCTCATCCTCAGCCGGACTCCTGACTGTCCCCACCTCCCGCCTTAGCACCATGGGAGCCAGGGCTTTTAGCTGCACCGCGCCCAGGCTCTGGAACTCTCTGCCTCCACACATCAAACAGTCTGACTCCATCACGACATTCAAATCCCACCTCAAAACCCACCTGTTTAAACTGGCCTACTCACTCTAAAACACATTCAACCTGCTATCACAGATCCTCCTCTCACTCCGTCACTCCACACTCTTGTCTTGCCTGTTTTATGCTTTTATGCTGCTGTATTGCCTTGTCGGTTCGATTAAATTGTGTTCCGTTTTAGTTTTAGCTGTTTTAACTTTTAAATGCACTGTAAGGCGACCTTGGGTGTCCTGAAAGGCGCCTCGAAATAAAACGTATTATTAGTCCCGCCCACAGGAGATGCGAACGGAGGAGTCGAGGAGTGGAGCCGAGGAGAGAGGAGGAGAAGCAGCAGGCGGTTAGAGAAATGAGAACTCCTCTCCTCTGAGCGGTCATTTTAAAGAGACGTCCATTAATGATGACAGGAGGCACAGCAGCCCTCTGTTTGATGGACAGATGTGTTCATGACGACTTATATATTTACTTTGAATTCACCCCCTCCCCTCTCTGGTCGCTACAATGAG